GCAACAGAAACAAACTGGACGGGATTGGACAGAGGAAGTGTAGGTGTGGGCCTGAGGCTTGATGAATTCCAGGATGGATTCCGTCAGCTGCCCAAGCCCAGGACAAGGAGAAAGGAAGAAGAAAAGGGGAAACGTGGAAAATGGCAAAACCAGTGAGTCTTCCCGGCCTCCGCCCACGTGCGGGCGTCTCCGGCTGGGCAGCGGCGAAGGGTTCAGCTCATGTGGCCTTTGCAGAGACCACTTGCCCCAAAGCTTGTCTTGTAGGAGCTGGTCTGGTTTGAGCTTATGGTCAGCTTTCTCTGGGCTCACAGGGGGACCTCATGGGGAGGGGGCATTAGAGAAGGAGGGGCTCTGGGGTGAGACAGAGCTGAGTCCCACCAGGCACAGGAGAGAGGGGTTTCTCTGGGGGAAATTGAGCATTAATCCTGAGCCGAAAAAGGGCACTGGGAAATGGGGTCAGGCTCCTCAGACACCCCCAGACCTGCTGGAGCCCGACTGACAGGGCCTAGCTAGGCTCTGCAATGGGGTGAAGTAGTCTGTGGGCTGGGGTTTGGCAGGCGTCGGGGCACATGGGCCTGGGATGACCAGGGAAAGCCAGAGTTTGAAAGGCCTTCTGAGACTGGTCCCCACTTTTTATAGCAGGGGGAGGCTGAGGCCAGGGGTGACCTCGGGGTCATTTCTCCTGGCCTCTGGCTTTGCCTCTCAAGAGGTGATCACATTTGGGCTGAGGTGACAGCTTCCTCCCTTGCTCAGTGACCCCTGCTTTCACCCACAGCCCTGGAGACAGGCCAGCTCTGAGAGACCTCAACCGGGTGGACACCTGGCGTGAGGCTGGGAGAGTGAGTGTGAGAATGTGTGTGAGTGTGGATAGTGTGTGAGTAAATGCTTGTGAGTGTGCCTGCGTGTATATGAATATGAGTACCTGTGTGTGTGACTGTGTGTGTGACACTAGAAGGGAGGTGGATTGACCCTCCGAGTCCAGCGTCAGGGTCCCAGGAGGGCTGTTGCTGGCACCCCTGGGTTCGCCATGACTGTCCCTTCCTGGAATAGGAAGAGGAAGCGGGAGGGAGGGAGGGAGGGAGAGGCCAGGCTGGACAGACAGAGGAGGTCAAGATGCTGGGGCTCCATTGGAGCCCACCTTTCCAGGGACGTTTTAGAAATGTGAGCCTCTAGGTCAGCCCTGCTCCATCGCTGCCCTCTGGCCCAGCTGTCCCTCTGCCGTGCCCAAGGCCTACCCTTGCTGTCGTGAATGCTCAGGGAAACTCACTCCTGCGAGGAGCCTCGGTGCTCCCAGAGGAGGTGTCCAGAGGCCCCTGCAGCTGGACCCCCTGAAGCCACGGGGGCCAGGGTGGCCGGGCCTGGGTGGCTGGCGCCATGGCCCCCGCAGGCGGGCTCAGACGTCGGTGCTGATGCTGCGGCTGCGGGAGAAGGCCTCCCGCATGGCTGACAGGCGGTTGGGGTTGAGGGCTTGCAGACCCCCGAAGGCTCCGGGCAGCTCTGTGTCCTCCTGGCCCACGCTCTGGTAGGCCACGCGCTCGCCGCCGTTGCACACGCCCTCGTCCTCCGGCTCCTGCAGGAAGAAGGTGGGCGGCTCGTAGTAGGAGCAGCTGCGGCACAGGGCGCGGGCCTGCGGGGACGTGAAGGAGGTGGAGGCGGCCGGGTAGAGCGCAGGCCCGTTGGTCAGCACGAGGTTGCGGTTGGAGTGGAGCGGCGGCAGGCCCGAGTGCACCGCGAAGTCAGGCTCCTCCTCGTCGTCCTCCGACTCGTCCTTTTTGCAGCAGTAGTACTATGGACAGAGTGGGCAGTGACAGCTCAGGGCCAC